ATGGCATCAAAATTAGTCGGATTTCAACAGCAACGACACACACAATCATCAGATGATCTAAAATTGATTTGAACATGGATTGCTTTGAAAATGTTATTTAAACTTTTCGAGGACTGGAGAGAGATGCTACAAGGGATTCCAAAATTTCAATTTCTTTCGCTTTCGGCGCCAAAAATACGCAGGAATATTTTTAATTTCATTTTACAGTACAAAGGTTTCCGCTTTCCACTTCTCAAAATTAAATTCAGACTATTTCAAAATTCTTCTGAACACTTCGTCAACCAATTTCATGAATGTTCTCAGCTGCGGGAAGCTCGATTTTTTTTTCTGGATTTCGACACACAGATGATTTTTCGAGTCGTTCAATCATTGCTTGTAAGGGGGAAACTTGATAAACTCGATGGAGGAAGCGGTCCAATTTTTTTTTCTCGAGCTTTACATATGTGTGTTAAAAGTCGAATTATTTTCCGTTAACAACACACTGCCGAGAAACAATTTCCGGGTTAAGGCGTACGTAGATAGATGGATCAGGCGCATTTACGAAAGCAGATTTAGTTAGCAGAGAAATCCTGAATATACTCTATGTGCTTTCAAGCTTGTCAGTCAACTTTTGGACCTCCCCTCGAACATATCCCGGATTTCATGTGCATATTTTCCCAGATATGTTTCCTTCTCGACTCGACGTACGCACCATTCCCATTTCCCATCCCGGAACGCGCCAGGGTGACATTTCTCCAGTCGGTTCGCGTTTGCCAACCGCACCCTGTTCAGCGACTCCATCCACTGCTTCTGCTCCACGCAATTCTTCGCCTAAAAATGCATGAAACCATCATTAAACGTCCATTATTTCACAATTACATTACTCTACATCGCAATCAACTGATACACCAAAAAATTACTGCATCTTCCCCTTTTTTTTTTTTTCAATACAGAGGTACGGCGTTCGGGCGTCCAGAATTTCAACACCTTTCATTTCGGTGTTGCCAACAGTTTCGTTTAATAACACAGGCAATGATTTTTCGGGTGCGTGAGTGAATTTACACTTCCACGATGTTCCAGAATTACAGTACTGTACCAAGAGATTTTCTGGCTTTCAAAAAATCTGGAATTTTTCATTCTTCACTTCATTTGTTCAAGAAACACGTACTTTTTCTCTAACGCACAACTGCGACAGGAAAGTTGCGTTCTGTCCCCACTAGGATGTTGAATTTTCTCTTGACCACTTTATCAAGAAGAATCAAAATATTCGAAAAACTGTTTGCTTGAGAGGCCATCAACTTGCAATCCGAGGCTACTACAGAAAAATGAATCACGGACAGTTGGGATTAAATTCAAAACTTTGAACAGGTATGCTTTGAGAGAGATAAGAAAAAACTTTTGAGTCCATAATTCAAACGAGAAAGTTTTCATAGTTTCGCAGATCGAAAAAATAAAAACCGAGACCCAGGGTAGGCTAAAAAGCCCCATCAGTAACTTAGGTTTCCAAAGGCTCTGTCGAAGAAATTTATCGCAAAAAACAGAGAGAGAAGTTTAAAATTTCTTTTTTGACGTTCAATATTCAGCTTTCAGATATTTCCATCAATAAATCCGGGAATCCATGTCCTCCTCAGTAGGTTTCAACGCACGCTACGAAAATTGCGAGTTTTCGTTCACCATTTTTCACCCTTGCAACATTTTCTGCTCTTTTTTTTTTCTTTCTGACATACGAAACAAGAAGACCACCTAGCAAGTCCAATAATACCGTATTCACTCTAGTATCTTGCGCAAATTTTTTCCAATAAATAAAATTTTTGATTTGAAAATTTCCCCCCTACTTTTAAAATTACTGTATTTTCAGAGTTCTCTGTTTCAATGATACTATTATGGGGTTTGTATGAAAAAGAAAAATCGCCAGATTTTTAACTGGGCTTGAACTTAAAATAGATTTTTACCCGAAATTGTTTTTCAAATAAGAATTTTGTAAACTTAAAACTGAGGTGCGCGCCTTCTGCCGGGATAAGATTTTTTCTTTGGCAAATATTCAAGGTGCGCGTCTCACTCGAGAGCGCGTGGCACTCAAGTAAATACGGTGAGTGGGCTTATCGGCTGAAGAACGGAAAAAAAATCCCTGGTTCAAGTGTACCTGGATGATGAGAGATTTGTTGTTGGGCAGCTTGATCCTTAGCAGATTGGACATGCACATGGAGGAGCTGAAGGAGGAGTCCTCCATCCGCTCCACGTCCAGGATGTGGGACGCCGGGATCCGATTCGGCGTCTTGCTGTCCTTACTGCCCGCGTAGCGCAATTCCGTTGTTGTCAATGTGAAGTGCCGGTTCGTAAAGCTCTTCCGCGGCCGGAACACGTTTCCTTTTCCACAGCTTTTCTTCATCATCCACCTTCAAAAAAGCCAAACAAATGAATGAATGAATAGATGGAATCAATAAAGCGAGAAAATTAGGAACTAATAATAACACATACTATTAAAAACCTGGCGTGCGTTGACTCAAATTTAAATTGTTAAACGAACGGGAAGATAGAAAAACGGTAACTGACGATAATAAGGGACGGGAAAAAATGCATACCGTATTTAATCGAATACAAGCATCCTCCTACATTTTTTGTGCACCAAATTAAAATTACATTAATAGACGAACATAAGCATCCACTTAATTCCCTGGTGTTCTGACTTTCTAGAAATTTGAATTTTTTTTTTACTAAATTTATGTTTTCCCCAGAAAGAGAAAAATGGTGTCGCAAACCCTTGCTCTTCCCCTTCAGCCAACGAATCATGTATCAAGCGCTAAAAGTTGAATATTTTTTGATTATTTTTTAAACTTCTATTCCAAAAGAGGTGAAGAAAAGAAACGCTGGATCATTTCGTTGGCAGCGAACAGGAAGATTTCCTGATACAGATGAAAATGTATGCGACTTTCATAAATATGTGAAAATAAGCACCCCCGTCTAGTGTTTGAGCTGCTAAAATTAGGAAAAAAAAAGAGGCGCTTACTGTATATTCGCGTAAATGCGGTATGCGTTAAAACCTTAAATTCTAACGATCCAAAAAACTCAAATTGGTGACGATCAAGTGAGAAAGATGCTTGATTTTTGCCAAATTGGCTAACAATCAAGATTTGTAGCACCGTAAGAAATGACATTCAAGTCGATTACAAGTAGGTAAAAACGGACCCAAAAATGTTACATAAAATCATACACACACAAAATGACGACCTCAAACAACAACACATTTAAATATGAGCCGAATCAAACAAGAAGTTCATTAGCAGCCGGAACACGTTCCTTTTCCCACAGCGTTTCTTCTTCATCCACCTTCAACAAACAAATGAATGAATGGAAAAAAAAAGGAAACAAAAAATGACGCGAACAGAGGAGCTTAGAAAAAAAAAAAAAAAAACAGAACGAAAGCACGAAGAAAACGAAAAACGTTCTGCGAACGCGAAACGTCATTTCCGGTGATTCGCATAACCTCGGCGAAAGACAAACACGGGAAACCGTGCCCGGGAAAAGAAAAATTACACGCGAAACGCGTTTCCTCTCTCCACGGCTGTCACTTAACTCGCAAGGCATACACAAACTCGCACACACGGAATATTTCTCGAAAAATAAAAGAAAATACAAATCTTTTTTAAAGGGAACCAATGTTTCGACTCAAATACTAATTCATCACGTTGACCCATCTCGGTCGTGCGGCAAACATTAAAAGCAAGAAAAAAAATCTTTTCAATGAAGCTCTAGGAATTATAGCGAACTACCACGAGCTGAGAACAGATTTATCCCTTCTTACACAATCTCTCTTTGAAATTCAAACTGTCACATTTTTCAAAAGTAATTAACGTGAGGAGTTGAAGTGATTCAAGAATTCCAAATAAATGAACATCAAGTAAGAACATGTTGTGGTTCTCATCAACTTGAAAAATTGTGGTCATTCAATTTCCTCGGAAATTATACAAGTTGCGTAGTCATGGATGAGGCATACGCGCACAAAACGTAAATCAAATCGAAAATGGATGAAAATTCAGTTTCTCAAAATATGTCTCATACAGTATGATCCATTCACGCACACATACAAATGTATTCCCACAAGCAAAAACGAAAATGGTCAAACATAACTTTCAAAAATGTCAATGGATGGTAAAAAATGCAGTGAGACAAATACTGCAATTTTTCCTAAATAAAACAAAAAACGTAATAAACGATGAGAAAAAAATATTGTTTACCCCTCTCTCAGGAGCATCGGTGGCTCATCACACCGATCCCTTTGCACGGGAAACGTGGAGATGGTCTCCAGGAAGCCGCAAATGGCGTCGACCCAACTCGGGCTCACGAACCGCTCCATGACCGGCGACATGTAATCTTCCTTGGCCACTTGCGGCGCCGACTTGGCGGCAACGTGATTCCCCAAACTCTGGACGATCTTTGACAAGAGCACGAGCGTCCGCGATGTCATGGCGTCGCCCGCGGGCTCGGTCACAAGATCAAACTTTTTCGGGTCGCCGATGGCGCGGGTGAAGAAACGCAGGAACACGAAGCCCGACATGACAGAGTACTTCACTTCCGGTCGAGTCGGAAAGTACTCCTCGGCGAGCTGCTTGAGCACTGAGAACATCTGGCACATGAGGAGTGGGCATCGCGACGCGCTGTTCACGATGCTGCTCAGCGTCTCTTCCGCGATTTCCTTCAGGTTTTGAAGGTTCTCCTTCAACACCTCGCCTGGAAACGTTGGACAATAAAACTAAAATTACATCCCGAAACAACGCGCTTCAATGCAAGAAAAGCCCCGGACCACCAATATTTCCTCCCATAGAAAATAATAATTTTTGCTGAACAATCAATGGAAACAAAATTCACTAACGTAATTGAAAGCTGTTAGACGATATCAATGATACAATCTGAAGTAGAATAATTTAGATCAAAGATTGGACCATCTACAGAGAGGTTCAGGAGCAGAAAGGAAAACAAGCATTAATTTGTTCAACATGAACTTGACTCGTACTGTGGAAAAAAAACTTCACGAATTATAATACAAAAAATCAATTAAGATTCTAAGGTTGACCACGCTTTACAACCTAGTCGCACTTACGGTTGTCAATGACGTAATGTTATACAATCTACCTACAAAAAGCGTTTCAGACCCGCAAACTTTTTTGCGACACGAAGAAATGCAAGAAAAGCCTTATTAAAATAATGAAGAGTAATCCATAGCATTATATCATGAATCGCAAAAACTGTATTTTTTCAAATTAAAAAATTAGAAAAACGTTGGTCCAGCCACGAGTTAATGCACTTCAATGTTCACAATAATCAACCTCCTCAAATCGTCACGAATGAATTTACAGTAACAGTATCTCTGTGTAAGGTACACAATTCCAAAAATAAACCATCGGTTTCGATTACTGCATCGAAAATTAAAATAATTAGCCTTGAAGTTCTTGACTCCCGTGTTCCAATTTTTTTCTGGAGGAAGAAAATAAAAAAAAAGACTACCCTCCGTGAAGGAAAAGCAGATTTGTCCGGAACCTCCCACTCAAATGTTTCGTTTTACAAAACTAAAAACTTCAGGGTCACAAAAAAAAATGCATCGTGACAGATCATAATAAGCTGAGCCTGATTTTCTCGGAATTCTTATGGATGAAACAGAGAACAACGATTTCAGCAGTCGAAAAAACGAGTTTTGCGGATTCATTCAAAAAAAAAAAAAAAAGCCTCGTCATTCGTTCCTAAAATAGAGCATCTCGACAAGTTGAAACGAATTTCCAAGACGAATTCAGGAGAAGAAATAATCCCCAAGAAAGCTGGAATAATTTCGAACTCAAAATCCAAAACGAAAAAAAAAAAAATTTTTAAATGGACCAACTTTTCGGAGAGTCGCTGTCGGCAATTTTCTTGGGATCAATTTCACACGGCTTCTTCTCTCGTAGCACCTTTTCCAAACTCGACTTCAACGTGGACTGCAGATACGTTCGACCCACTATCATCATGAACTCGTTCAAACACGTCGACGCCAACGTGTTTCCACGAAAGATTGTCGTAGGATCTCTGAAAAAAAGGGAGGAAGAAAATACATTTTTCAGATAAAAGTTCGAATTCTTCATCCGAACATCTTTTTTTCTGGATTGAATATAATTTTAATTTTACCCTGAAACGTTTTAAATTGAATCGACTTCCAAATACACCGGAGCCATGCCAATTACAATGACTGAATTAAAGCCTTGTGAGTGATGAAATCATGAAAACATTTCTATTCAGCTTCAAGCACTACTGTATTATCACATTTTAGACGAACAGCACATTGACCGATTATTCACAAATAATCCAGAAATTTCCCTGCGTACGATTCGCCCAAGTTCCGGTACACGCTCAAGATATAAAGCGTTCAAAACGTTTCTGCGAATTGCGAAATTTTCGATATTCATAATATTTTTCTATCATATTGATAGAATAGGTATATTTTGCGTAATGTCACCTGCAGTCAAAATTTCATCAACATTTTCTCATCCGGTAATATTCCACCTGCTTCCAAGAAATTCTATGAAACGACGATGGCCAAAATTCTTGACATTTTCTTTCTTCTAAGTACAGTATGTACCACATTTACGCAAATATGAGTACCCCCGGATTTTCTCATGCACAAAATTAAAATTCCATTAAAAGGCGAATATAAGCACCAACTTTGTATCCTCGAATCCTGACTGGCCTTGAAAGTGTTGAAACTAAATTTTTCACTGAATTCAGGTTTTCCCCGGAAAAAGAAAAATGGCGTCACACAACCCTTGATCTTCCTTTCCAGTCAATGACTCATGAATCTTGAATTGCTAAAAGCTGACAATTTTCTTGATGTTTTTCAACTTAATGGGATCACTTGCTTCTCGTTGAGGAAAACTCGCACCAGGGGCTGAATTGCTTCTGGATTTAGGCCCGTTAAAGCACCCAATATCCAAGCTGCACTGGCCGTTACAGGCTGCAAAAAAATAAAAAAATAAATAATGCAATCAATTACTATATTCCGCACCAAAAAGTATGATTCGGATCAGCGCCCATTTTTTAACTTCTGCGAAAAATAGGAATCATGCATTCAATTACAGTATTTCACGGCAAAAATAATAATAATCCGGGTCAGCGCACATTTTTTGCTCCGTGGAGAAACACGAAATTCCGTTCATCCGTTGTACGTGACCAGCTTGGGAAAAACAGAACAAAAATGTAATACGGTTGTGAAACGACGATTGCGAAACTCAAGTTCAAGTAGCATCAACATTTTTGAATCACTTCAGGTTGGTATTGCTGATATTTAATTGACACTTTCCCTTCAGTAATTAGCATCAATCTTGAAAGTAAGTTAGGTAAGGTCTGATAACATACTGGAGAACCAGAAGGACACTTCGACGAATCGTCATGCATCAGAACAAAACTGTACAGCTCACGTCCTACGACAGTTTTTTTGGTTGGATCACATGCCACATTATAAAAGTGCTTCACAGGTACAGTAATCATAATTCTTCTCACAAATGACAAAGATCTCGTCCCAAAAAATGTTCATGTCTCACAAGTTCCGAAGACTTTCTCGCGCTCTATTATTCCATAGGCTTCAAACATGATGAAGTTAAGCTTCTTCTCTGGGATAGATTCCATTCCCAGGTCGAAGGACGTATGAGGATCCTTCTCCCCGTCATTCTGTTCTGGTTAAGAGGGATATTTTAGCTTTCAAGACCGCGGATGCAGGAACCCAAAAATATCTGAGCTCGTATCAAACATGAAAGCAGGATCAACAGAAGATGAATTGACACATATGACGTCTTTAGGCAGGGACTGAATTTTCTGAAAGCAATATTATAGATTGAATTCTAAAAAAATTTCATTTACACGATTTATTTCAAAAACCCATGAAATAAGCTGGAAAATTTTCGTTTTTTTTCCTTCGACATACGCCCAATTAAATGCCGATTTAGCAAACGGGAGGGAGACCAGGGCAACAGACATTGAAAAATCCAGGATTTTAGCCTGAATTCCGCTTCTCACAGATGCATTCCAAGAAAACATAAGTACTGTAAACTTAACAAGAATTCGCAATTTAAAGCTACAATAAGGTTAATCACCAAATGAAAAAGATAAAATGACTGATCTGTTCAGTATGACGAATAAAAACGTTTACTGAGTTCTTGATAGCGTCTAACACGGTTATC